TCCATCCATCCATCCATCCATCCTTCCATCCATCCATCCATCCATCCATCCATCCATCCATCCATCCATCCATCCATCCATCCAGGCACCAAGCAGAGGCAGCAGTCTAAGTAGAGATGCCCAGATTTATTGGAAGTGTGATGTTTTAAGATATTGTTTCATGTTTTGTTTTTCATTATTTCGGTCCCCTTGAGCTCTATGTCAAGTATCAATCTAACACATAGTATAAAACAGTGCAAGTGATTTTTTTCATCACCTACTAACATGTGGCTCTGCAGCCACATTTTTTGATACAATTAGCCTAAAACGTATCCTACTCATAATTTCTCAGTTAAGTGATGAGAAACTTGTGAAAATCTACAATCTTAGTCAAATCAATTGCAGAATGACTTCATATTTATGTTTTTGACTTTCTCACTTTGAGCTGTATCCAGGCTTATTTGGGAACATAACAAAGAAGCACATTTTTATATACCCAGGCTGTCAGATTTTGTTTCAAATAAAGGTACATTTCCAGAAAGCACCGACTTTTCTCAACAGAAATGTTTCAGTTTTTCAGGTAATTCAGACTAACAGCATCTCTTTCACTTTTAATCATGTTTGTATGAATGTCTTTTTATAGACTGTGTGGGCTTTCAGTTCAGTGAGAGTTTATTTCAAGCTGATACCTGTTTCTTTTTTTGAAATGTATTTTTTTTTTTTGCTGTGTGACCTTCTCTTAATTTTATCCAATATAGTTTGATTTGATAGTTTTATAGTTTGCAAGTCTACCTAGATTTATCTCATCATCAGGTTGTTTTTTTGTATTTTTATCATTGTGTGTTTCACATCTGTTAGACAGCTATCCCCCACATATATAATATACTTCCTATAACTGCAGTTTACCACCATTATTACACTCTTTTGCACATATTATATTGACTTAGTCCACCAGTGAAATACTTTGGCCAGTTTTCCAAAGTATAATTTATTAACCCTCTACTTAACTAGTCCTGTTTTAGTTTTAAACATTCAGTCATAATGGTCCAAATCCAGCTGTGATTCAATTACGAATTTTACCCTGTAAAAACCAGGCCATGGGGACTAGTAGGCCACACACATTAACAACATTTATCTCTTAGAGAATATTGAGTGGCCTTATTGCCCATTTAGCTATAGTGCTCATCAGTATTTGACCCAGTATCTCTAATTAAAGGTCCTGTTCATCTAAAAGTCTGACAGTTTACACCAGCTGGTAAAATTCATTTTAAGCATTTAATCATCTAAGTTTCATGCTTTAAATGTAAATAATCATCTTTCCAACTAACAAGATCAGCTAAAATCCATGGTTGTTATATATTTCAAACATGAAATTACCTGAAATAACATGGCTGCCAATTAATGAAAGTTTGTTTAATTACTCGGTTTGTATAGCAAAAAGTCACAAACTGGTTTATCTGTAAAAAATGGAAACAACCCCTGCTGTTTCCTGACTATTTATACATTTTTTCCCTCATTACAAAGTTTTTTACCAGGTTATGCACTGAAAGCAAGCTATAAATGCTGATTCATCAAATATCACCTCTTCTGACACCTCACTGTGTTTGGGGTTAATGAAGTGCCAAGGAACAACGGTTAGAGTCAGATTTTACAGCGTGTGTTTGAAAAGAAGGTGTTAAAATCAAATGTTGGGTGTTCTTCAGACATGTGCTGACAGCTAAAAGCTGTTGGCCAGCCTGTAAAGCTGATATTTCTTTTTAAGATCCCTCCAGCAGATTCACAGAGAGCATAACGAGACGCTTCTTCACATAGTCACAAATCATCTCCAGTTAAACACAGATTTATCATAGATGTATATTACACATTACCTAACACTGTTCACTCCTGCTTTGTTTTGTTTGTTGTCTAGTCAATTATTAATGCTGAAAACTTTTTTGTGATTCATGGTCAATTTTATTAAATACTTTCCTTATTCCTTTATTTACAGGGGAAGAGAAAGGCCGGTGTTTTACCATTGAGTATGTGATGCCAACAAATGTCCAAATAACATCGGAGTCTACTGTTAGTGTACTCAGTAAGTAATATTTCACACAAACTCATTTTTATGCTAAGAGTTAAACTAACTTATTTCAACGAGTCAACTGGAAATGGTTTTGTTTGGCTGGTGGTGTTATAAAGGTGCTGATCTTCTGCGAAAACTGTTACTTGAGGTAACCTTGATGATACTCCTCAGAGAAAATACCATTTAAAATTAAAGATCACTACTGAGAGTTTAACTCATACATTTTCTAGGAATATATTTTTTGTATATGTTTTTCTATTATGTACTCTGTTTACCTTTTGTCGATTTTTTTTTAATTCTTGTTGTATTTTTTTCCTTCATACTTGTGAGTTTTATGCTTATTGTATAAATGTTTTGGAGACGTGAAGGACAAGGGACATAACCTTGATATTTGTATCCTTGGTAGTCATACATACAGTACCAACTGTCTTAAGGTGGTAATATTGCTCTCATTTGGACTATTAATATCTATAGATTTATTCTAAGTCGCTATAGATCAAGCTGCTAACTATTAAAACATACAGCAAATATAAAAAAAACTTATATTGCAGTGATCTCACACTGTAAAATGTCTGTGAAATATTTCACTAATGCATAAGATTTGTGGGCACACTGTGACATTATAAAGGGTATATATATCTATGTGAGCCTTTTTTTTTTTTTACTTAAATTGGAACTGCTGATTGGTGATTTATTTTTATGTAACATTAAAGTTTTCCTAGACAAGGCAGCGTTTTTAAATAAAAACTGATATTTCTTCGGCAATTACTGTAAAAAATCAATAAAAAATTTAGTTTGATTGTATCGTCTATGTAGGCCACACTTCTGTTTCATTCTTACCCTACATATGAATCTAAGCTTGGTATCCAGCCAAGTTTGCAAAGCCTCCAGACTTGCGAAAAAATTTGAGTGATACTTTTTGAAAAAATTTAAGAAGATATTTAGTGTGCTTTTCATTAGAACCACACCTTTACTTAAAAAATATATTTTTTTATTGATCTAGACAATATGCAAAATTTTCTTTCCAAATTCCAAATTGTATTACTGAAATAATATAAACCTTTTTAAAATATTCATATTTATCTGAAAAAAAATCTTTTTTTATTTATATGATATATGATAAAATATCTCGAAAACAAGAATTAAACAACTTTAAATCTTCTCGATGTAAACATTCTACAAAAAAACGAATACTTATTTTCGAAGAATGTAGCAGACATTCCCACTTTTGCACATCTTTTTAAGCATCCATTTAGAAATAAATAGCCCATGCTCTCTATGCTCCTCTGTTTTAGGTTGTGCTTTAACATTTTCTCAAAAAAAAAAAATAATAATAATTCTGGCTGCACAAAATGTAAAAGGAAAGACATGATATTCCTATAAGGAGATACTAGAAAGTCAATCAAATCTTCGAAAGATTATGCTTTAGTGAACTACATGGAAAAGAATACCTTAAATTTTTTTCTCTTAAATCAGTCGGTTGGTTGTTTGTGTTTAACTCTTTTCTCCTCTGGTTTTAGAGATGATCCGCTCTGCTACACCCTTTCCTCTGGTCAGCCTCTTCTTCATGTTCATTGGTTTTGTACTCAGTAACATCGGCCATATTCGACCACATCGTACTATCCTGGCTTTCGTGTCTGGAATCTTCTTCATCCTTTCAGGTACTTTGCGAGGAGTCTTAGTTTAACAAATCTATGTGTTTGGATTAAATCCATGACAAATGCTTCCATATTAAGTTTTATTGGCCTCTCTCCTCCTTTGTCATCCCATAGGTCTTTCTCTGGTCGTTGGCCTGGTTTTGTACATCTCAAACATTAATGATGAAATGCTGAACAGGACCAAGTCCAATGAGGCTTACTTCAGCTACAAATACGGCTGGTCCTTTGCATTTGCTGCCATCTCCTTCCTGCTCACTGAGGTAAACCTCATTATTAACATTTTATATCTTAATGATGGCTCTTCCATTTCTATTTTAAAGTGACTTGCTAAAGAATTTATGGTCCCTATCCTTTTTCACATCTTGTTATACTCCGGCAACAAACTTTAAGGTTTTTTACTGGAAAGCTGGATAGTTTTTTTTACAAAATAATCTGAAAAGTGCATCAATTTTCCATCAGCCGTTTCTCTGATACCATCCTATACATCTTATAATTAGATTACATTACATAAATATATATTTAAATATATAATATAAATAATATTGAAAATAAGTACATATAAAATATATAAAAAAATATTGTTTATATCATATAAAATCTAGTGCAACCAATCTCCTATAATAATGCTCATACTAACCTTTGGATAGTTATTAGTATGCAGTCGATGCCAATGATTTAACAGTCTTTTAGGTTTCTTTATTCACAATAGTTTGTCACCATCCTCTTTTACACAATAAGTGGGTTTTTTTTACTCATCTAACTAAAAACTACTTAAATATTTTGGGAGAGATTTTTTTCCTCATAGAAATACCTTTTTCTTATTTTTGATGGGCACCTTAATAATCTGTGTTTTCCAGCCACCACTTGAAAAAACTATTTATAGTATCCACAGTATCGTACAGTTTCAGCTGATAATGTAAAACATAGCTCACTCTATCTGACCCAGACTCTCACTTATTATCTCGTATATCTTCCAGACGGCAGGTGTCATGTCAGTGTACCTGTTCATGAAGCGATACACAGCAGAGGAAATGTACAGGCCCAATCAGGGCTTCTACAGGCCTCGCCTCAGCAACTGCTCAGATTACTCTGGCCAGTTTCTCCATCCGGACGCGTGGGCGGGACGTGGCCGCAGTCCCTCCTCCATCTCCTCTGAGGCCTCCCTGCAGATGAACTCCTCCAACTATCCAGCCCTCCTTAAATGTCCAGAGTATGAACAGATGTCATCCTCCCCCTGCTGAGGCATTGGGCCTATGTGATATAGCTCTATGCTAGCATCCACTAGGGTTGATTTTTTTCTGCCCATATTTTGGCATGTCGTCAAATAATTTGATATCATCCATCCTGAAGTCCTCACTTAGGATGATTGTAACATGGCCTGAGTTCACTTTGCTCGCTCAATCGCTAAATTGTAGTTATAATTTTTGGTTTCGAAGCAAAAAAAAGCAAAACTTAAGACTGTTTTATGTGTTTCAGATAAAAGAGGAAGGTTATATGAGATTATAGTTGAAGCTAACTTGCAAATATGCATGTTAAATGAAAAATACAAACATATGGAACGCAAGTTTACATAGAAAGCATTAACCAATCGGTATTTTTGTCCACTTTAAGTGTGGAGGAAACTTTCTCAGGACTGGTAACCCACAATGTGTATTTGCTAAGTGATATCATGATATTCCTATTTAAAATGCACTAAGAGCTGTGCTCTGCTGCTGCACATATGATGTGCGCACCCTTTTTAAGAGCATGTTTACATTACGTTCAGAACCCTATTTCAGTTCAAATGTATTAAAGTCCAAACCCTGGGGAGCCAATACATTACACACTCAAAATCAGCTTTATTTATACAATTCTTCCTTTTTTTATGAGGAAGTTTTTTTTACAGGCTTATATGATGGAAGTGATGAAAAAGGTTGATTCATATTCATGTAAATATTTATAATTTTAAATCTTAAAATATCTCACTGTAAAATCCTAAATTATACAGACTGTTGTTCAACTTCCGGAAAAAATGTATTTTTTAGCCTCACTTCACTGAAGTAACATATTAGGAAAAAACTACGTTTTACATTTTAATTTTCTTTAAATGTGCAATAAAGCTTTTATTTGGTTTTGTAAATAACTACATTAAATGTATTGGTGAATATGAAAAGAGATCTAACTTTTTTCATGCACTAAAAAATTTATCCTGCAACAACGCACAGCAGCTTTGCTTCATGAACCAGGCAAGATGGATACAATGCATCACATCTCTTCAGAAACTCAAAAATATATTTTTTTGCCAGCAGACAAGTGCAAAATGTTTATCAAGCTAATATAAGCAGTCTGTTGATTGTGGTTGTCAAATCATATAGATTCTTAGTCATGATTAATGTATGACGTAGGGGGGCGTTCGGTTACTGGTGTTTAACAAGGAATGTGTTCATGTCAGGTGGAATTAAGAACTATTTTCATACGGAATTATAGTGAATGTAAGACATGTAAAACAAAACACTGCTGAAAGAGATTTTCTGCTTACAATACCTCTCCAAGTACAATATGATAAAGAGAAATATTTTTTTTAAATTGTAATCCCTTCTGATAAAAGAGCTTTTAGATACACAATTATCATTACTGCACATAGTTGATGTTGTGCCCCTAATGGCACATAAATGCATTTCAAGCAGCAGTAAGAGTAGGCGGAAAGTTTTTCTCTTTTGTATTTTTGTCTTGTGAAGTTATTTCACAGTTGTGCTTGAAAGTTTAAATACCCTTGTTCAGGTTCAGGTTCAGTCAGACTTCTGCACATGTTGACAGGTATGTTGGTTCACTGTTTATCAGCAAGGTACCTAAAGTCGTCTGGGATAGTTTGTTTTTATCATTTATTTTCAACCAAAACATGGCAATATTAATTTATTTTTACTATATTATGATTTAGTTCATGTTAATTTTTTATGATCTCTTTCAGTTTTGTGATATTTGAATAACTAGTCTGAATTGGTCTTTTCCTTTAAGGGGAGGGTATATAAACTTTCAAGCACCTCTGTGTATAAGTTCAGTATTTCATTGAAGGTATTGTCACTGTATTACATTGCATGGTGTAAACGGCACATGAAATTATTAACATGTAGCATTTAGTCACTAAAACATGACTTTCTTCTTGCTTTAAAAAAATAATCAGTTACAGCTCATCACCACAAACTTCGCCAAGCTCAGCTCTCTCTCAAGCATTGTTTTGGTAAGCTGACCGGTAAAAAAAATAGTTGCTCCTTTTAAACACTGTACATATTAAATGATCGGTGTACATAAATGCCTCTTTTTGTATAAATGGCAGTGTATCCGAAAGGAAACAATAGGTTGTGTTCCTATATGTAGATCCATCTGCAGTACATCCTACAGCTGCTTTGCCTCCTGTTTCACGTTAACAATGTGAGCTTTTGCATAATGTTAAGCTTCCATGTAGCATTTGAGTACATGGTATCATAGTCAAACATGCAACCTGTATGTGCATTTCTGCTGTCGATCATCTTCACTGTGTTAATTGTGAAATAGATGGTTTAAAACTCCATGAAATAAAAGTTATGTGATTTTCTAAATGCTGATTTTGTTTTCTCTCTGACCATCCATACATATTTAGCTTCCAAAACATTAAATCCTCATAATGAAGTTAGTAATGTACAATTGTGACTTCTGGATTTGAGTTGATTATGGACAGTATTTTAAGTCCTAGAGGTTGCACAAAATTTATACGCCTGAAAGTGTGCATGCACAGAAAGACGGGACAAGCTAAGGGGTCAAGCACGTAGGACGGCTTTACGTAAACACATCACTACAATGGTTAGCAACTAGCAGGACCACTGATTTAGATGATCCACCCAGAAAATGAACATCCTGCCCTATACCTTTATATACAAACCTTTTTTTTAAAGAATTTTGAACCTTTAAATAATGAAATAGAACATGAGCGGAGTACAGTATATGTCTCTGATATGTATGCTTTTGGAAAGATATCCAACCAGTAAACAAATACTGAAGATATTAATTCAAATCGATTCAGTTTATTAATATAGCACCAATTCAACACACATGTCATCTCAAGGCACTTTACAGGTCAACCAGATCATACAGTCAAATTGATTCAAAGTTTTCTATCTAAGGAAAACCAGTTGATTGCATTGACTCCTGACTCCAATGCAATCCCTCACACTAATCATGCTTGTAGCGACAGTGGAGAGGAAAACACCCTTTTTACAGGAAGAAATCTCCAGCAGAATCAGGCTCACTGCCGAGGCCGACTGGGGTTCAAGGAGACAGAAGCAGAGATACAAAAAGCTGCTATAAAAGGCGGCCCCGTCCAGGAAACACACAGCAAGGCAGACGAGCTCTGAACCAACTCCCATGTCAGAGGATGAAGAGAGCACATCCAGCCAGTCACAGTCAGAGGAACAGGACTACACAGGGAAAACAGGCCGATCTCCAACATCTATAAACAAAGGTGTTGATGGAAGAAGCACAGCTGATGTTTCTCTCTAGGATGGAGTCACAGCCAAACAGAAACAGGTGAGGCAAAGCTACTCTGAGGAAAAGCAGAGAGAGCAGAACATTAGATATTGAACTTACAGATTCTACAGAGTGGGAGAATAGAGATAGAATGAAGCAGAATGATGAAATAGGGGTCCCTATATCCTCCAGCAGTCTAAGCCTATAGCAGCATAACTATAGAGATAGCTCAGGTTAACCTGAGCCACTCTAACTATAAGCTTTATCAAAAAGGAAAGTTTTAAGCCTACCCTTAAAAATAGACAGGGTGTCTGCCTCACGGACCAAAACTG